ACGAAACATCTGATAAACTGTGCAAGTTCATAATGGCTTCTAACCATTTTCACAATCTCATATCATGATCACGATGAGGTAAAATGGCATAACATCGCAATATGACTTCTTATTAGGATCAACACCACTAAAGTGGTTTAAGAAAGATTGAAACTCAACTCTGCTACTGTTTTTCTTAACAAGTAGTAACACTTACCAACATCTTAATTATAAGCTAACACACTTGCAAGAGATGCAATACTCCTTGCCATGAATTGAGAGTTAGAACAACTAATACACCAAGCTCTGCAGTTCACTTCAATCATCACAAAGTATTGCTTCCAAAAAGCTAGTGGGCTGTACGAGATGGTACATTAGGCTAGGAGGTAAAGACTGATGTTGATATAACCTGTTCTAAGCTGCTAAGATAAACTTTCTACTAGTTAATTAAAGCTTACACTTCATAAAAAGTTGATAGTTTTATCTTACAGCCATCGTTGTCAACCTCCACTGCCATGCAATCCCTCTCGTATTTAACTAGCAAGTAAGTCTTGTGCAGACTTTTGTCATGCAGCCGGGATAATGACACAAAACATAAAGAAAGATACGTTTTCTTGAAACGAAAAAAGTAAGATATGTTTTGATCTTCCTAAGATTGGAATAGGATACCCAAGCTGCATAGATGATCAAGGGCAGTACCCGTGGAGACAGAAAAATTGATAAGACTTTAGCTTCTACATCATATATCTCACTATTAGGTTCCTTGTATGAAGACTATCAAACTACCATTTGCTATAAAAAATTCGAACAACTGCTGATGAAGTCCAAGTATAGAGTCTAGGCTGATTAAGATGTAAGTACGAGTTAAAGTGCTGCTGCTAACAAACTAAATACAACTGTATGACGTTGTTGACAACAAGACATGACTCAAAATGGGGCCGCCAACAAAGTGAGTAGCACCGGCGATGCAAGCATAACCTAAACACCACAACTAATGGAAAGCACGAATTGGAAACTACGAAGTGTCCTATATATGGTATACCTTGTTCACAAAAAGGAGAGTTCCCAGCAGATTATTCAGTAATAAAGTGAACCTGAAAGTGCAGTCTAGCAAGTCAGTGTACGTGCGCATCCAAGTATACTCAAGATAATACACAAATTAATGCAATGATACCTTGCCACCAATCACCTCTGGTAGCAGAGCCATCCGGGTTGTCCTCCTTGTACTGGATTTAAAATTCAAAATAAATATTAGACTTAAGTGCTCCAAATGATCTGTATACTTATATATAAAAAGTTCTGCGTACGTTTGCATGGGGCTCATTGGCTGGTTGCTTCTGTAAAGTGCTGCTGTAGAACTCCCGACCACCGTAATGCACGGATGAGCCAAAGTAAGGGGATTCTGATGACTCATTTGGATAAGCAAGTTTCCCATCCTTGTAAGTAGGGGTGCCGTGGGATTTTCCATCTGAGAATGAATTTAAACTTCCATAGTTATATCAATGCTCCAGATTAATTCTAACCTAAGATGGTAAAAAAAAAGGTTTTAAGTATCGCTTTGCTTATGAACGGTACCTAAATCGAAGAGAAATATCAAACTGACAGGAATACCAAGAACTACCTGTAATGCTACTGCCATTCTGCCTCTGAGCTCTGCTTGTTCAGCATCGTGTACAAGTCCGACTGCTTTGCGTCATTTGTGCTCCCCTTGAATGCAAAACAAATTCATAATGTCAACGTCATATCCAAATAGATTTTGCAGAATCCTATAGCTCCTCTATTATCAAAATTACCCCTCATCAGAGTTAAATAAATTGAGAAACCGTTGAGCTCCCACCACAAATCGCAACATAGTAACGGACTCATCAGCAAATCGCACCAATCCACCAAACATGAAAAAAAAAATCCTAAGACCCCAAGAATCCATCAGAACGATGGCGTGAAGAGACGGCCCGTACGTACCGCAGGCGACACGGAGAAGACGGTGCTGAAGTACCCGTTAGCCGGCGGCGGCGCCGCGGCTCCGGCAGCGGCGGGGGCCGACTTCTTCTTCGCCTCCATAGGTAGGGTCGTTTTCTGCGTCAGCGGCTGCGGGAGATGGGCCTAGACTCTCGAGAGGATGGAGCCGTGAACACTTCAGGCGGAGAGAGATAGGGCACGTGAAGTCGTCGTTGTAGGCGGCGGCGTGGAAGGGAAGGAAGCAGTTGGTTGTTCGCCTCGTGGCGTCCTGCTCCGGCCAACATCTGTGCCGGCATTTAAAGGCCTCGACGGAGCGCCCCGGTTTCGCTATTTCCGAGATCTTAAGGGGGATGGGGAAAATTGTGTTAGCTTTCATCCGCCTGCAGTGTGCAGACTCGCGAATTTACAGGGACGGATCTGAATTCAAGTACTAGTAATTGAAGATAATCTCATTTTTGGAGATTCACTGATGTTGATATACGAATTATTTAATCATTGATAAAAAATAAATACATAGAGACAAATTATTGATAACAAAACTCCGAATATCATAACGATAGATAATCTTTTGACAAATGCCATCCCTACCAAATTGCTACTCAAAGGTCAAAGCCTCGTGGAAAAGCTCATCTAAACTGCAACTACTGCATTCGTTCCAAACTATAGTTTAGTTTGATTTTGTAGTAAGTTAAACTTTTCGAACATTGATTAAGTTTCCTTAAAATATGGTAGTAACATCTAGAGTTCAGTTAAATGCACTTTCAATATGTATTTCATACGTAACATAATTTATTGGAACAAATTTGATGTTGTAAATGATGGTGTATTTTTCTATGAACTTGTAAAATTTTAAAAAGTAAATTATTGATAACGCCAAAATAAATTATAATTTGAAACGAGAGGTAGCAGTAGAAAAAATTAACAGCCACATGATGGTTGGACATTCATCGAATCACGTTCCAGTAGTATTTTTTTTATTTCTTTATTATGTTTAAGGTGATTTATACGGGTTTCTTGTATTATGAATTTTACGTAATTTTAAGTTTCAAATAAGGAAATCTTGCAGACGTGCTGTCCTTTGGCCTTTGATAAACACCATGTTTTCTGAGTTTTATCAAGCATGTTTTTGTTGGTTTGCTTTATCAGTCCAATCAACTCAATAAGAAGTCTTAGAGCCTGCTTGGATCTCATTCTCATATTGAGATTTTCGAGTCTAGATAATATGTAGAATCTGGATTCTAGATAAAAAATGAGGTGTGTTTGGATCTCATTTCAAAGTGATCATTGCCTTTGCATAATGAAAATCTCCAAATAATAGGTTTAGGTTGGAGAATCCAAGTGTTTGCATTTCATTCTTATTTTTTTATCTCATTCTCATATATCTTAGGATATCCAAACAGGCTCTTAGAAGTGGTTATAGCATAGGGCCATGTACAACGTGCCTATTCTTTTCTCTTCTTCCCCAACGTGTACGTTTAGACATCCACTTTTACTCGCCTTTGGTAGCCCCTGTGATATAGTGTAGTGTAGATCTTTTCTTCTCTATTTACAGTAGCGGGGCCAAGCCTAGGCAAGGCCCACTCAAACAAGGCCACAGGCCCCGTTTTTCATTGAAAAATGCAATAACACACTGTCCTATTTGATTTACAGTGAGAGAAAAATATCGTTCGACTAAAAATACAAACCTGAAAAAGATGGATTATAAGATAAGCTTAACACGAGGCCATAGTGTATAGTCTACTTAAGAGGCACTGAGTCTTTGAGTGCGCTGGTCGAAAATAACAAGAATATTTCACCTTTGCATAGAATTTAGTGCCTAAATTAGAATTTCACTTTCAATGCCTTACTTGGCAGGAATACAGTGTCTTGAAGAGAGAAACTGGCTTTGATTTTGAAAAGGGAAAATTGGCAGACACTGAAAATGATGGCCTTGTTTAGTTGGTGAATTTTTTGGGGAAATGGTACTGTATCACTTTCGTTGTTATTTGACAATTAGTGTCTAATCATAGTCTAATTAGGCTTAAAAGATTCGTCTCGTGAATTTCGTCTAAACTGTGTAATTAGTTTTATTTTTTATTTATATTTAATGCTTCATGCATGCGTCTAAAGATTCGATGTGATGGAAAATCTTGAAAATTTTTGTAAACTTTTGGGAACTAAACAGGCACGATGTCGTTGCTAGCAGATACCGAAAAAAGTCTATTTGGCTGGTGGACACTTTGGTCTATGAAAAATTTGTTGGAAGACACCACGTCCATTAAAATTTTTATTTTTTTTACTCTGTATGAGAGAGAAGAAATCCAAAATGACATCTGGTGCCCTATGTTGCCTTCTCTCGCGCTCGTTCAGTGCCCTTCGCGAGCCTCCGCCCATGCCACCCAGAGCCCACACATCACCTTCTACTACCATCTCCCATCCATCTCCCTTCATGGGCCTACAACCATGCCCTCGGCACCCATGAGCCAGTTGCGGGAACAAACAAAGTCGCTGTCAGATTTAATGGTGAATCTCGCCAATAGTAGGGTCGCCGGCAACAAGGACCATGCTAGTAGCTTTGCCTTGACCTTCCTGGTCGATTGGGGTGCTTCTTGTTGAACTTGGCAGTGCAATGATGGTGGTCACATAGGTGAGCGGTCGAGGTCATAACCGAACTCGCTATTGAGGAGACAACCCTACAATTCTCCCCATCGGAGTAGTGAGCGGGTGTGCGGGCTTCGCCACGGTCTCGTGGACGTGATGCACGTGCTAGCCATGGACAATCAACTCTGAAGCAAGCTCACCCCAGCGATGGACATGGTGGCGTCCGGGCAATGGTCATCGCAGAAACTTGCAACCTCTGATTGTGCAGCGTGTGTGACATCAAGGGCAAGCCACAGTGCCACAAATCAAACCCAAGGTAGACAAAAAAAAAAAAAAGACATGCCTGTGCTGAGTGGTAGTGGTGCAGTCAGGTGATAGTGATATTGCCGATGTGAGCTCGTCTCAAGGTCGGCATGCTTGGCCACAACTTGGGCTTGTTCCAGCTTGTGGTCATAGAGGGGGAGGGAGGGAGGTAGTATCTAGAGGGAATCAAAGAGTGGTGGTCAGTGCAGCTTGGATTTTTTTGTGGAGAGCGGCGGCTCATCAATGTTGGGTGAAACTGAAGGGCCAAAAGAGAGATGGATGGGGCGTGTGTCAGCCTTGAGGTGGTCTCTGAATCTGCAATTTGCCAGTGCACGTGTTGAGCGAACACAACAGTAGCACCATACCTTCAAACTCTACAAATCTTTTCACATCCTTTTACGTATCCAAAAAATGCACTCACCATCACCAGTCGCCAAAATGTACGTGTTGACTGAACAAGTTCGTGAGTACCACCCATATCTTCCAACTATACATATCTTTTCACATCCTTCTATACGTATCCAAAAGGAAGCCGCACTTTGCCACCAGCATTTCAGCACAAGATGCTCATTCCTTTTCATCTAGAATCACCTCGATGGAGAACGCATCACAAGCTGCAAAACAATTATTCACCAACATTGACCGATTCCAGTCTGACTTATTTTTGCAAATTATCTACCTGCGTTGACCCATATAAAAAGACTAATATCACCTACGCGAGAACCTTCCAATTAACCACACTAAGACCATGTTTAGGGGGGCGGGCACAGCCACTGCTGGGCCCCTGGTTCCACCCGTGATCATCATAGTCATCGAAGAAGAGGGAACCACAGAGCACCTCAAGGTCAAGAGATCCTGACAGGTGGGAGAACCCACCAAAGTAGGTTCAATAGTGGACTCCTATTGTTATGAGATTGGCAATGCACCAGTGCATAAGATTTAGTCTTACGGAAAGTGTTTGGAAGGTCATGTTCAGATCATCTTCTACTAGGCGGGCCGTCAGATGAGAATCAGATTAGTTAATAATTAGGTAGTTTTGAGTTGTATCTTGAGTCAAGGATTCTATATTGCTTAGAGTTTACTAGATCTCATTATTTTCTCTTCACTGTCCTATTTATTTTACAATGGATGCGCATACCATCTTATTGTAGCGGCAGGAACTTTAACCTAAAACTTTCTTCGTGCAAAAAATAGGTTAGGTAGCAATTGTCTCACTAGTTGTCTCAATCTAGATAGCAGCTAATAAAATATTAAAAACCCCTTTTACCCTTTAACTTAACTCTATGGACAGGCTCTTCTTCCAACAGCAGCTAAATGAGAGTATTATAGACAAAACTACCAAATACATCTATATTTTATCTATCGGATCCGAAGAACACATAACTAATATTTAATTAGTTAATATCATTTATAATTCACTATTAGCTGGCTAAGTATTAACTGCTAGTATATCATAGCCTTACTAGATCATAAGATAATCAAGAGATATCATGGCGTATGGTTACCATCTTAAGGGTATATAAATCTTCGTGTCAGATGCGCACTACGGTTAGCGACAAGTATTTTTACTTTATAGAATACAGAGTATTTGCATACTCAACTTTATCAACCATTTAGCAATGAGACATCAATGTATATGTATGTATATGTTATATAACGCCTGCTGACACCGAAAAGCATCATGTAATGGGATCCCAAAACGTCCGGGTGCTGTACAGACGCACCTAACTGAATTTGGCTTGCTTATACTAAATCATGATAAGCCATAAGCACGTGTTGATTGAATAAGGTAGGGTCATATCAGCTTGGTTCGGCTCTAAAGCCTTTCACATCCTAATCTTGTATACGTATCTGAATCCGAAAGAAAAGAGAGGGAGAGATGCTTCGGTCGACAAAGCATCAGGTATTGGCACGCAAGAGGCAAAAGATGCCCCTTTACTTTCTATCTCAGGGATCAGGATTCAGCAGGCTGCAAAGTAGTATCCAGCTGCGGCATTGCATTGACCACTTGGCACTTGACTTGCAGTTCCAGCTGCACTCATGCACTCCTCCTGCCAGCACTAGTAGAGAACAGACATTTGATCCTCCATTAAAATAGGCTCTAGTCCTAGAATTTTTTGCGCCCGGGACTAGAAATACCTTTAGTCCCGGTTGGTGTCGCCAACCGGGACTAAAGGTCGCTGCTCAACGGCCATCGCGGCTGCAGTAGGTGGTAGAAC